GAGTTCTCTCTCCTCTCCCCGTTTTTTGCCTCCCAGACATCTGAGCGGCTGCTCTCCTGGACTTTGTTTACAACCCCAGGCGGTTTTCCGAGGTTACATGTGCTAAAGGGATGACCCCAGTTGACTTTGCGCCGATTGCAAAGTCTGTAGTCATCCATCCCCGAGAGGGGGGGGGGGGGGGGGGGATAGGCTGCGTCATCGTTCCCGTCAGGGTCCGTGCTGTTTGTCTCTGTCCTGAAATGAGACGAATGCGCTCAAATAATAAAACAACGGCTTGTTTTAACAATGTTTCTTTGTCTTTCCCACCCCCCTGTAGACATCACAGGCATTTCTCATGTTTATCACCACAGGCTATGAAATGATCCCTGAATATATTCTTTTTACAAGTTTCAACTGTGTAATCGGAGTCCATAACACAAGTGGGTTGGTGACCGAGCAACTTTAATCTAGAATGATCCACGAGAAACAGAAAGAGTCAAAAGAAAGAGATACGAAACAGAGTCGTGCAAATGAGCCCTAAGAATACAGGAATGTATCCAAAGAAACAAGGCCACACGGACAGTTGCAGCAAACAGATGGTTTCTGTTTCAGCTGAGCGTATAAATAAATAGACAAACAGTAAAACACCAAACAATGAGGAAACGAGAGACCCAAGAGGTTTTCTGAGGGACGCTTTTGTTTGTTTTCGGACAAATGGGACAATGATGTGAGGAAGTGCCGCTTGGCAGCCCGGCTGACGATAGCTCGGAGCTAACGTTGTTCCCCTTTTCCTCTCCTCCAGGGCGCCAATGCCTCTGCCTTGGAAAAGGAGATTGGACCGGAACAGTTTCCCGTGAACGAGCACTACTTCGGATTGGTCAACGTAAGTGCGATGAGCTGGTCTGAATGGTCTAAGCCTAAGGTCCTACTCATTACCCAACTCTTTAGGATGTTCGATGGCCCACTTCCACTAGCACTTACTCTCAACTAGACTCTGTTTTTTGGTTTTCCATAAGGTGGTAGCGCCTTTGGGCCAGTTATAATTTTAGCACCTACTCCGCCAGGGTTCTAATTGCCATTATCCACTATTACCAATTGCCCATTGTTTTTTTTTAAAGTTATAATTGTAGCACCTACTTGGATGGAGCTGACTTCAAGCCACTCATTTGCCAGGAATGGATGGGACTATTATGCCTGGGTCCATCACGGGGCTCCTGAGCCGGCTTGCTCTGACAAATTACCCCTGTAACAGAAAACTAACTAAACCGAGTCGAGTTGAGCAGAGGCGAGTAGAGCCGATTAGATACTAGCACCAAAGGCATGCGAGTGAGCTTAGTCCAGCCAAAACTGTGACGTCACTGGATGTGTCATGAAAGCAACTCTATCACCAGAAATTGCAAGTTTTAAAAAAAAAAAAGAAAAAAAAAAGAAGAAAATAACCTTTTTACATTCGAGCCAACACTGTGGTACGTTATTACTGCAATGTCTTTGATTGTTGTGCCCAGTTTGTGTCCCAAATAATGATGCAATGGGACTTATGGCCGTTTTGCTGAAACGACCCTAACCCTAACCCTAACTTGTAACTGAAAGCTACCAACGCGGAGAATGCTGGAAATGTGACGCCCGAGACTGCAGGATAGGGAAGTGAACCCACAAAGGGAGGTCACTGGGCGTGTCTTGAAAGTGACCCCATATTTTCCCCAACATTTTTCCCAATCTCACCTTACTGGCAGGATAAATGATAAACCAGGGTTGTCAAATGTATCGATACTAAAACATTGTATCCGCATACGATACTCATTTTCAAAAGTATCGATAAGATAACCAGTACCGTTGCCCAAAGTTGAAATGGCACAGGTGACGTCTAGGGATTTAAGGCTAATCTTGTTGTTATTACCCCCCCCCCAACACACACATACACACACACACATTGAGGTGGTGTTAGATTGTAATTGAAAACGACCTAAACCCAGAAGAGCAGAGTCGGGCTGTGGGAAAGGGCCGGTGGATAAACTACAAGTGCATCCAGGTTTCCAGTAAAAGCACTCAGCGGTGACTCATGTCCGCCCGCCTCAGAAGTGCTTCCAACCACCAACTCCAATGGTAGCGGCCAACTCTGTCAGTTCAGTTTTGTAATGCTGACGGATAAGCAGCGTTCCAAAACCGAACATTACCTGTAAACCTTCATTGTTCTAAAAAGAAGAAGAATTAAGAACCCTGTCCCTGTCTCTGCTTAATCCTTCCAGTTTGGGAACACCTGCTACTGTAACTCAGTGCTGCAGGCTCTGTACTTCTGCCGGCCGTTCAGAGAGAAGGTCCTGGCTTACAAGGTAAGTAATGTGAGCTTTTCTGTTTGTTTTTTTTTTGTTTTTATATCGGTACCAATAAATAGGCTTTATAGGGGACAACAAAATTAAAAGGAAGACATTCAAATGAGCAGTTTGAGCTACATCACCTGCTTTACCCTTTAGGTCGGTATGTAATAATATATCAAATTAGGGATCAGGGTTGGAATGAGAGCCTTTTTTTTAACCATATTTGCTTATTTCGGTAATCTAATATATTTTCTGCAAAATGTATGTAAAACGTGTGGTTTTTATGCAGGTAATTAGTTATTTAAGTGGTTTGAATCTCTTTTTTTCAATTCTATAGGGGGAAAAAAGGCCATCCTCCATAGTTTTGGCCTGTATGCCAGTTAATCTGCTATTCAGGTGTAAATTACTGAACACGTTTACGTAGTTAGATAATTCACGGTAAAGTACTCAAGCTCTTGCCTTGATTTTCTATTAGACGCCAAAAAACTCTTGTCATTCAAGTATATGTTCTTCTTTCCCCACTAAAGATGAGCTCAGATGTGCCTGTGGGCTTTACATTTTGGAGTAAAGAAAAGAGACTCAAATTGGTGTCAATTTTCTCTCCCCACTCCTCTACTGCAGTTTGGAGGTCAGGGTTGGAAAAGAACCCAAAACAATGGCAGTAAAAAACAAAATTAGGGTCCTGCGGGAGTTTCCCTGCTCAAAAAACATCCGATTCCCTTTTAAAAAATTGCTAAGTTCTGTACAGGGTTTTTTGGGGGGTGGGGGGGGGTCTACAGCCGATAGCGACTCCTCAAAGCGTCCGCTCCCCTCCAGGTGCAGCCCCGCCGTAAGGAGTCCCTGCTCACCTGCCTGTCCGACCTGTTCAACAGCATCGCCACGCAGAAGAAGAAAGTGGGAGTGATCCCTCCCAAAAAGTTCATCTCCCGGCTCCGAAAGGAAAACGGTAGGGATCGGACACCAGCGGCGAGGCCTCCGGGTTTCAACCCGCTTTTCTTTTCACCGCCCGAAACAAACGCAGAGATTGGAGACGGAGAAATTGGCGGAAGATAGAGCGGTGAAAAGGGAAAGATAGCGGCTGTCAGCTGAAAAGATAATGACGCAGCTGAGGAAGCCGCGTTGTCGGCCAAACAGGCGAGCGGAAAGCAGCTGCGAACGAGAGGGCGGCTCGACTTTTCCCGGCACATCCTGTTTATTTTACCCCCCCTCTCCCAACTTTTCACACATCCCTCTGCTCTCTCTCCCCCCCCTTACAGAGCTGTTCGACAACTACATGCAGCAGGATGCCCACGAGTTCCTCAACTACCTCCTCAACACCATTGCCGACCTCCTCCAGGAGGAAAAGAGCCAAGAGCGGCAGCAGAACGGGAAGCTGGTGCAGAATGGAGGAGGAGGAGGGGCGGGAGGAGGAGGAGGAGGAGGAGGGGGGGGAGGAGGAGGGGGTGGTGGGGGAGGGGGAGGGGGAGGAGGAGGAAGTGAAGGAGAAGGGGAAGGAGGGAAGGAGACGCAGCAAACCTGGGTCCACGAAATATTCCAAGGAACTCTGACCAACGAGACGCGCTGCCTCAACTGCGAAGCCGTAAGCATCTTCCCCTGGAAAACATTGTTACGGAAAAAAGAGCAATTCTAGCCCATTTTGATAACGAAACTGATACTTTAATGTTTTTGGCCAACACCGAAATATGACTTAGTTTCTAAATACCTTAAAACCTCATTGCATTAGACAACTCAGGATATAGGCAAGAAAGGAAGTGTAACATGACCATGAAATGTTAAGCAAGATAGATAAAAACCACATAAAAATGACATGGCAGGATAGTATATTTTGATGAATCACCAAAAAATATATCTTTTTGGAGATGCCTCCTTTAGTAGGATCTTTACAGGCCCTTTCAAAGTCAAAAATCCATACGTCCCTTTGCTCCTCCTTCTGCAGGTGAGCAGTAAGGACGAGGACTTCCTGGATCTGTCGGTGGACGTGGAGCAGAACACTTCAATCACGCACTGCCTGAGGTAAAAAAAAAACACACAAAAAAACAGCCGTTTGTGTTGACTCGGCGAGAAAGAGGTTTGAACTGCGTATTTTTTTCCCTCACCGGTCAGTTTGTCTGTGCTTCCACAGGGGCTTCAGCAACACGGAGACGCTATGCAGCGAATACAAATACTACTGTGAGCAGTGTCGCAGCAAACAGGAGGCCCAGAAAAGGTGAGGCCGGGGGCAGATTTCTTATTCCTCAGGAGGAGAGGCTATGGCTGTGAGGTGAAGAACCCTCTGACTGAACACGCTGCGTCCTCTGTTCCCTATACTTACAGAGGCCGTGCAGTGTTGTCCATTTTGATGTGCCCTTTGAGCATTTTTATTTAGATTTTTCCTTTTTTTTTTTGCTAGTAAGTGCTTTTAATTAAAAATTTAAAAAAAGATTTATGAGCATTGACAAATCCTGAGACCAGAGCTCTGGATTATCTAATTTTAACAGTTTGTGTATCTCATCTGATTCTGTATCTTTATAGTAAATTAGTCATCAATTTATTTGTATTAGTTTGTTTATACGCTCACGTCTTTAAAGTCCTCTCACAGCAGAGCTTCTCTTCTCAAGTCGCTGACACAGCGACAGGTGGGGGACGGCTATCGGAAAGTGTTTTTTTCTCTCTATTAAAAAGGCTCGCACTCTGTTCCATTCGAGTGTACCTCCGAAACCACATCTGTTCGTCTCTATAGCAACCGGCCGAGGCCTTCCTGTCACATTTAGAGAAGCAATCATATTTACCTCACCATTTCACGCAGTTTCTTTCGAAGACCTGTGTGGCTAGCTGATGGAAAAAGTCCAGTTCAGAGAATGTATGAACCGCCACACGCATTTTCACAGAGATAAACCACCATTTTTTCTTCCCCCGGGGGTGTCGGTTAATGGAAAAGTGGCCCACCCCGTCATCAACGCCGCTTTAACGTGCAGCCGAATCCCACAGGAGGTTCAAAATAAACAGGTTTATGCTTCTGGTGGTAGAACGGTCAAAGCTTTTTAGCTCTGCTAGGGTGTTTTTACATTACAATACAGCGTCAACTCTTCTTCCTGTCTACCTCAGGATGAGGGTGAAGAAGCTGCCCATGATCCTCGCCCTCCACCTGAAGCGCTTTAAGTACATGGACCAGCTGCACCGCTACACCAAGCTGTCCTACCGGGTGGTGTTCCCCCTGGAGCTCCGCCTCTTCAACACGTCCGGGGACGCCACCAACCCGGACCGCATGTACGACCTGGTCGCTGTTGTCGTACACTGTGGCAGGTAGGGGTTTTCCGGTTATTAATTTCAAACAGCTCTTCGGAGACCCTGTAGAAACACAAACTATGTCGGGATCGTAGTTCAGCACATTTTCTCTAAATGTCCATAACACAAACAACTTAAAAGCACAATACAAACCGTTTTAAAGGGAGATATATGACTAGAGTATGAACAGTTTCGGTATATACGATGTCATGTCTTTTTGTCCAATAGAGCAACACAAGTTCAATGAGGTAGTCATAGCAACTGCTGTCCACTCACAAACCAGGGGAAATTAAACCAAAAGATGAGGCCGTGTCAATTTTTCGGAGTGTTCTGCGTCTTCCTATTGGGTTTTAAACGGCTTTTGATTTCTTTATTTTATCCATAAGGAAATTAGAACACCTTTCAGTCGTCGTTTGTACTCTTTTTGTGTATGTCTCATGCACTTTTTTTACAGTGGCCCCAACCGTGGACACTACATCACCATCGTGAAAAGCCACGGCTTCTGGCTGCTGTTCGACGACGACATCGTGGAGGTGAGAAAAAAATAACCGAGGCCCGTTTCCTCTCTCTTTCCTTCCACACGCAGCCACCCGTCAGCGGCTGGTCACCGGTCACAAGTGTCCAGCACGAATGGGACTCCATATGCAGATCAGAGCTTTAATTGGCTCAGAGTTGGGCTCGTTATTCCTCCCACCGCTCAAAGACAAGGCATAACTATTCACTCCAGATCTTAGGGAAAAAAACAAAGAGAATTTATGGGTATTTGGCCACAGTTGACCTAAAAAATCAATCCAAAATATGGAGTCTTCATCCTGCCTTCTGAGCAAAGAGAAAAGGGCTTAGTCACAGCCACCAGGGAGCGGCGTTTAAAGCCGTTCCCCCCGGCACGCGCTGTGTTTTTCCACTACGTTGGACGGAAGCCCGCCCAGACATCTGGGCCGCAAGATTCTGCTGAGTCTGCAGAGCAGAAACACAAACTTATCATTTTAACAGTTTGTGGGGATTTATTCCTCCCTGCCTAGCTTTTTTTTTTAGTCTGTTTCTTTCTTTTTTTTTTCTCTGGCTGGAACTGGAGATTTTGAGCTTGAGCCTGAGTGTTTGGGTCAGTCAGAAGCAACTCTATTTTTCTAAACATACAGTCAGTTTTCTTTTACCACCACCTAGTTTGTTAGCAAAGGCAGTTTTAAACATGCTCTTATGCTAGTGTACATATTCATAATCCACTCAGTGTGTGTTTTAGAGCATAGATGCTTAACTTAAGTATTCAGTCTCACTATGATGCTACCTACCGATCATTTCTCCACTTCTGTCCAGCCTAAGGGACATCATCTGAATTCCTGTTTTGTTGACAAAATATCTTTTCCCACACCTTTGACCCCTCCTGTTCTCTGGTAGAAAATCGACGCGCAGGCGATCGAGGAGTTCTACGGCCTGACGTCAGACATCTCCAAGAACTCGGAGTCGGGGTACATCTTGTTCTACCAGTCCAGAGACTGAACAGGCCAGTGGGGAAAAAAACGCCCAGCAGACTTGTCCGCTCATCGGCAGGGGGCGGGGCTCACGGCAGCCACCGGTCAGCCCAGTGCGCTGGCCTAGCTGTCCAGGATTTCTTCCCTGTAGGCGGAGCTTTGCGGCAGGGCGCCGCCGGGACGGGTGGAGACGCGTGCGGGGTTGCGGATTCCAAATCCCCCCCCCCACCACCACCCCCCGAGCCCACACCGCAACAGGCACCTTAATATACGAAAGGACTCATTCTGCAACACTCACTTTTTGCACGGCGGCGTCCAGCAGCGAGGACGGAGCGGCCAGCCCGAGACGGAAAAGCGCCCGGCTGTGGGCGGCGCCTCGGCCGCGTCAGACGATTGACGGGCCTCGTTATCACTGTTGCCGACGGAAACTCTGTCGGGGTTATTTCCTTTTGCGTGCAAACATATTACACCATGCTAACTTAGCTAATTTTATTTAATTTTTTTAAAAGATTGTAGATTTCCCTCTTCTTCGCAATCACATACTGCTATGCCACAGTCCTGAAACGGATCAAACTAACACCACCTTTATTTCGAGATTGACAGTTTGAATGTGTACGCCAAATCCAACTCCGTTTTGCAGTGCTAGTAACAGAAGACAGGGCCTTCACCAGTCGGTGTTTCAATAATTTAAAAGACTGAGTCTCAGACTGAAGTTTTAATTTAATCATAAATATTAGATGTATCTTTATTTTGAATATTGACAATGATTTAGGTAAACTGACCAAAAAATTCAATTTACATTATCTATGATTTAAGCTAGCAGTGTAGCATCAGTTGACATATTCTGTTATCATGTTTTATGCTACCATCGGCAGAAAACAATATGTCTGAACACAGGAGGGACATAAAGTATGAAGTGGAATGATTTTAAGATGATGATCCCCTTGTAGAGGCCGAAACAGTTGATTTTGCATTGTGAAGTTGTGTCGTGCCACAATTAGCCAAGTTTGGTGCCATTTTTGGCAAAAGACACTATGAATGGCAAGTATTATAACAGCATAAGCTAACTTTCTGCCCCTCCGTTTTCTGCTTTCTGTGGACCACAAACATGTAATTTTTCAGAATACTGTCATATGCACATTTGTATCTTTTTTTTAAAGATATATATATAGAAATATATATATATATTCAATAGAGCGCACAAAGTGACAGAGTTTTTAGACAATTCTGACATAAACTGTCTCACAATACGTGGGTTAAATGTGCACATATTGAATGATGTACCTACAGGTTGAAAACTGACAGGCTGATATTCAGCCATACAATGGCAAATTTCAGCGGAAACACTCCAGCTGCTGCAGTGCTGGACAGTTGTTGCATATTTTGAATAACGTGCTCTTCACAGTAGTTCGAACGCTGCCCTGATAGCAGCCTAAGAGATCCTCGGCCCACTATTGTGGACCATGACCAAGGTTTTAACTGAATCTAGTCAGGCTGGTTGATGTTTAGTCCCACCTTTTTAATTATTAAATGCCTGTTGATGCTTATATGGCAACAACCACATATTTCCCAAACATTGTATTGCAGCAACAGCAAGCCTATTTCTTGCTTTGGCCAGGCTGAGTCGTGTCTTTTAGCAACTTTTAGCTGCTACCTGCACTGTGTCTGGGCTGCAAGCCACAGAGCCGTTTCCAAACAACTTGCCCCTATACTAGCCAGTAGCCGCTTGCTATTGAGTTAGCCACTTAGCTGGCCCTGAGGGTCCTAGCTGCTAGCTATTGGCCATAGAACTAGCTACCTAGGTGGCTCCTAGCTGGAGTCCTGACTCCTGGCTGCCTACCAATGAGCTAGCTACCAACTGCTTGCTATTGAGTTAGCCACTTAGCTGGCCCCGAGAGTCCTAGCTGCCAGCTATTGGCCATATAACTAGCTACTTAGGTGGCTCCTGGCTGGAGTCCTGACTCCCAGCTAACTACCAGCTGCTTGCTATTGACTTAGCCACTTAGCTGGCCCCTAGTTAAAGTTCTTGCTGCTAGCTATTGGCCACAGAACTAGCTACTTAGCCGGCTCCTAGCTAGAGTCCTGACTCCTAGCAGCCTACCAATGAGTTAGCTATGCAGTTGGCTCTGAGCTAGAGTCCTGACTCCTAGCTGCTTGCAAATGAGCAAGCTAGTAGCTACCTGCTTTTTTAAAATGTAGTCTTCGATGCACATGAAAATTAAGAGTGCAGTTCAGTTTGGCTAGTTGTCAATAATGAAAAGAATGTACCAACTGTCTAGTTATGTGATGGATTTCACGGAAGACGTGTCTTCAAGCTCATCCAATATCTATTGAATATTTAACCAAAGTTAAGACCTTGCATGTATTTTTTTTAGTAAGGTTTTGAGGAGATTATTATTCAACCACAATTTTTGCACAGAATTCAGCTGCTTCTTTTTACTGACCGCCTTCATCCAGGCTCTGCATGAAGGAAGCATGGAAGGGGACACTTCCCTGAGTCAGTGGCTGGTTTCGCCTGTGAAAGCTAGCATCATTTAGAAGACGGCTCCTTTTAAAAGCTCTTATCAACAGACTTTTTAACTCCCTCTCGCAGCTTTTTCAGCTGCCTTCTGTAGTTTTTGATGAAGGGCATTTGTTTAAAATATTCTGTTCAGTGCTAATCATGATACTTGTGAGTCAAACTATGTCATCAGTGTTAACAGTTTGTGTTTTGCTGTGTTGTGGCCTCTTTGTTCACAGAGGCCATTTTAAATACCCTCTTCACCTCCTTTTTTTTTAAGTTAGCCACATAAACAAAACAACTCTGGGTTTTAGTTGGTCTTTCCAAGTGTTTTTGTCACAGCCTCACAACAAAATGGGTTTTTACCATAAAAACAAAATGATTTGGGGTTTAAAAAAAAGCATTTCTGAGAGTGCCGATCAGCCCTGATCTAGATTAGATGTCACAAACATCTCAAATTTTGTAAATCGCCCTCTAAACTCTTATATCAGCCAATCAAGGTCCAAGACATCAACACTATTTCCTTTCTGCGTCACACAGGCTGCTCAACTGATCAACTTCAAGGAAATGATCTACATTAAAGGAATGTGCCGCACAATGCTCTGGAAGTTGTTTCCATTTGTTTTCCAACAGTTTTCCAGCTTTGCGGATGCCAGAGAAAGAAGATGATGGTTTAAAAGGACTTCAAGCAGAATCTGGAAACTTTCATATGTACCAAATAATGTTTATATTTTGAAGTTTTAACAAAAACTGTACACATGGACATAAATAAGCACAAGAGCACATTATTTGGGATTTAAAAGTGCAGAGTTGAGAGAAAAAAAAAAGTTTTCTGTTATTTCTTTTACATTTTTTAACGTTTATGTTAACTTTTTCTTCCGTGTGTCACTTGTCAAATATATTTGACAAATTCTAACCAGTTTTTGTGGGGCGTCTCGCATCTCTTAATTCATTTTAATTCAAAGGTGAGCGGCGATCAGAGGCGATGGAGCAGGAGAGCGTCACCATGACACACGGGGGCCGCTTTCTGACTGGATAAGACACACTTTGCTCTAAAGAATACTGATCGGAAACTGTCCTGTCACGGCCGTGTCGAAGAGAAGAGCTGCTTTGAAGTACAGAAAGGATTTATGACAAATAAATAGATTAAAACAAAAACAGCTGGTGCTTCTGTTTTTGGCCTGTTTCAAGTTTTTCTAACTCAATATTAGCCAAATATAGATGTATATTATCATTCTAAATAAATAATTAAAAGAATTGGACTGTCATCCATCGTCAGGTATAAGACGTCGGGCTGCACGTCGCTGTTACTAAAGCCTGGTGTTTACAACATGAAAATATAAGTTAGTCTCCTGTGATTTTCAATAGAATTCAGTTCAGTTTGAATTATTTATATTGCATCAAATGACAGAAACGTAATCTCTAGGTACTTTAAAGATTCCAAGTCATTGGAACCCAATCCCAATCTGATCAATACCAGCTCATTCAATTCAAAATTAGTTAAATTCATCTGCCAGTCAGGCAATCTTGACACAATGTGCTTTACATTATTGCAATCGACTAAAAAGAGATAGTCAGGAAAGATAGATGAGAAGAAAATAATGAAAATATGACTTAAAATTCCACAAGCCCACTAGTCTGACACAAACACACAGAAATATACACCCTAACAAGAGGTAAAAAGACTACAAGAATGGAACACAATTAATGGTAGAAAATGCATGGGTTAATGTCAAACAGGCTAAATTTGAGTTATTATTGTCTTAAAGTTTATAGGTTTAAGTTTCCTGGCCCTGGTTTAACATCGCCCGAGCCGTCCCCAACGGTAAGCTTTGTCTAAAAGGCCGGTTTTCTAATCTTAAAGGTATATGGCAGCTGGTTCCATAAGAGAGGAGCCTGATAACCCGAGGCTCCATCATCAGATCTGCTCATATCGTAAAGATCTCACCATCAGACACAGATAGAACAGCATGCCCTCAGACTGGGGGCTAACCTGTGGTTTCTAGAGTTACCAAAGCTCTTAAACAAGACTGGGTGGCAGAGATTTCAGCTATCAGGCCCCTTTCTTATGGCATCGGCTCCCGGGATTTGTCTTGGAAGTGCCGCCCCCCATCACCCTTTAACCTTTAAGATTGGGCTTAAAACGTCTTTCTTTTTGTTTTCTTTTGACAAAGCTTATCCTCGGGGGTGGCTCGAGTCACCTTGAAAGATTTCACAGAAATGCTGCGATAAGCCTACACTGCTGTGGGGGGGACTTACCCATGATGCACCTCACCTAACCTCACCTGGTGACATCATCGTGGTCGTGAACTTGCGATCCCCCCTCTCTTTCGGCCGCTGTTTAGGTGTTTGGCGTCCATCTTTCAAACCCCAGCCGGTAGAGGCAAATGGCCGCCCCCTTCTTCCTGTTAAATGTTTTTTTTTGTTTTTATTTTCTTTCCACATTTGCCTCGCGCGCACTCAGGATCAGTCGCTGGATCAAAGAGAGGATTCAGTGTAATCTGTTGGTACAACCCCATTCAACACAGGAGCCTTGCTGTTTGGAGCCTTTTTGTGGGTGGAACTCTGAACTGGGGTATTTAACAGGTTTTCCACTGTACATTTTCACGTTTTAAATTTTTGGTAGGCAAGGAACTGATCATTTTAAAGGGAAGAACATTAAAAATTAGAAAAATCTAACTTAGAGACAAAATAACAATCTTTTCTTGTTTCTGTCCATATTTTTATTTGGAAATATTCCACCTGATGAGTGAGAAAAAATGTTCTGGAAATGAAATCTTCCTGTTCCTCCATAAGTGTGTGAAGGTGTAGCTTTTTATTTAGCAATTTGGTGTCGTAAAAGATGTCAGAACCAGTCAAAACGGCCTGTGTGGTTCAAAGCCTCAAAGTCTGTGTCTAAAGTTTGAATTTTGCTCCTTCTATTAAACATGAGAATGGAATTTTAGGTTAGAGCAAAGTTAATTTCTTTTGACCAAACTAAATATGTTGGCCAGTGCTCTATTTTTTAGCCTCCTATTGTAAAGTCCTTAAAAAAAAAAAGAGCTGAGGTTAAAAGCGGAGCTAAAAAGCTTTCTGTCTGCGACTGAGATCATCTTCCCCGGGGCTTTTTTTTTTTGTTTTCTTCTGCCTCACATTATCAATCCTCTGCTCGTTTCCCTGCCAAAAGCATGACCTTAGCTCCAAGAAACCCTCTGAACGATGACTCAGTCTCCTCTCTGTTACTTTCCTGGCTGAACGGTCAACAATAAGCAGATTCACTCCGACTCTTCTGCATGTAGGAGGTTTATTGTGGTACAGCGATCGAACGCACTTTAATGGGTTTTACAATTTCATAAAAAAACAAGAAGAAAAATATAGCTTGTTTTCTCTATAAGGAATCAGAAATACAAGTTGGGGGGGGGGGGGGGGGGGTCACCTGCTGAGGTGAAAGAGCGACTGTACAAGTCATTTTATAGAGAAGAAACTGGGACTGAACGTTACAAAAAAAAAAAAACACAAAATCAACAAAAATAAAATCACAGGATATGTACAATTGTTTTAGTTGTTCGGCATTGTTTCCCAAACCTAATACATGTCTTTGTGCACATGACACATGACTGCATTTGTCCACAGACTGCAGGAAGGAGAATAAAGTGGTAAATAATGCCCTCTTGTGTTGTCAGGAACTCGACAACTGAAGAGCGTCCGGTAAATTTCCAGCAAAAGTTACTGGAAATTCAGCTCTTGGATTTAAACTGCACTTCGTAGAGTTTTTTTCTTTTCTTTTTAAAAGGTCAGTTGAGTGTGACAAATTGTTTATTTTTCCTAGTGCAAAAAGATGGCAGTGGGCATATTTCTTTCGATGTTTTGGATTAAATTAAACTAAATTCTTTTCAACCCGGCTTTTTGCCTTGTTGCCTTTTAGTCCTAATGGCGTTTGGAAAGTCAAACGTTGGAGACGATATCAACGTCCGAGTAACGGGCACAGTTTTAGATACATGCACAAAGGCTATTGCTGAAAGATTGAAGGAATATTCCATGGTAGGTTTTTACATTGGCTCTCTAAGAAGTGGAAAAAAACAAGAATCTGAAGTCAGAGGGAGGGCCGAACACATGAGCGTAGATGGATGGACATTCATGTGGCGAAGACCAGTTTTAAGAGAAAAAAAATTAATTATATCATGAAATTAGGTGATTATGACCACAGATGAACAACAGAATGTGAGATGTTGCGCCACTCGTTTTTCAAATTTTCAAATCTAAGCAACCTCTTGAATTTGTATTTAAACATTTAGTCCAAGTCTTTTGTATGTGTCTTAAGCCATTCTGAAACTTTTTTTTTTTAAATTAGGTAAGAATATTCTTCCAAACAAGCCACACTTGTACGGCCTTTTTCTGATTGTACTTTCCAGAATCAGAGGCCCAGAATCTGAGATTTTTTTTAAAGCTATCTTGAATGTTTTCCACTTGCAAATAGTCTTGCCTTTAGGAACCAATGGGAGCCAGATAATATTTTGAATCACACCATGACCCTTAAAACCTCTGAGCTTTGCTTTACTGTTGAAGCTATGTTATAGTTTACTATACAGCCAGGGATTCATTTATTTTACAGTCCTAACTTGCTGGTCACTTGGTATAGGTGTGCTGATATGTATGTATGAGTATAGTCCATGTTATGCCCATGAAATTAAGAAAACAATAGGAAACCGAGGACCTTAATATATGGCAGGCCAATCCGCCCTCCTGTGTTCAACTGCCGGATGCGACTAGCACTATGTTTGTGCGTCAACTAAAGCATCATTAGAGAATCTAACCATACAGAAAAAGGAACAGCCTTTTTTTTCTTTCTTTCTTTTTTTTTTGTAGAAACACTTCCCACATCACCGCTTACGATTTGGCAAGAAGACGCTGACGAGTCACGAGCAGCTCCAGGATAAACCGAGCCCACCACTGCTCCCTTAATCCGCCATTAAGTCCCATCCAAATATTTAGGGCTGCAGCTCATTCTGCTGAAACGATGCGAATCATGACGAAATAATCCAGTAAAACAGCTGCTATTATTAGCTTTATGAGTCTTGATCCGCCATGTAGTCCAGGGTTGGAGTTCGTTTTGGAGGAGACTTAGATCATTTATTAGCATGCCTGCATGTTTTTGTGTCTCAGACCACACTTCAACCATGTCTTATATTCAACTTTGTGGAGTTTTGAGGAGTTAATAAGTGAATGAGACTGTCACGATTCCCAGTAAGGATCCATTTAAGGGGTTTCAGTTCAAAAGGTTGTTGTAAGGTTTAGGATCTTTGAGGGTTTTTTTTAACACCTGTATAATCACTTTTGTGTTGTGTCTGTGTTATAAAGATTTGGACTCAACGCATAACTGAAAGAAACCTGTTGCAATAGTCTTGATTAAATATTAGCAGATGCTGGTATTCCATACAAGCATCATTACTCTTACAGTTCAGATCATCTCAAAGATTCTGGGTTTTCTCCTTTTCTGTGCTCACGATGAGTTTTTATCTTTTGTAATATACACCCTCATTTAAAAAAAATAAAAAATCCTTTTCCAAAAACCTCTCAATACCATCTGTCATTATTCAATATTTTGATAATGGTCATTTCAGTGGTCGAAAACCTCAAATTCCAGATTCCAAACTGGGATGACGGCCGTTTAGTCGGGGAGAAAACCTCAGGATGGAGCTTCTCTGTACACAGGACAGTTCCCTTTCCCGCTCTGCTTCCTGTATCATACCATGGTCTCAGAGCTGGACCCTTTCCCCGTGAAGAAGTCCCAGAAGTTGGCGGCCGGCGAGGGCTTGCTGTCGTCCGGCGGCGCCTGCCTGACCCAGATGCTGCTCTCGGTGGAGCCGGTCAGACTGGAGCAGCTGCCCCGGCTGCCCAGGGTCAGGCTGAGCGCTGACCCCAGCGCGCCCCTCCGGTCCTGGGGGTCTGCGTCCTGGCCCAGAAGTCGGGAGGAGGACTGGGACAGGCTCAGCAGGTTGTGGTGGGAGTGGAACTGGCGCATGTGGCGGATGGATTTACTGGGATGGACGTCACCTGGAGGGTCAAAAGTAGGACACGAGCTTCAGAAAGTTCTTTTAAAAGACTCTCCATGGCATTTATGTGTATATTTCACTACCTAAACCTGACCAAAATTCAGGATTCTACCACTAGATGGTGCTGTTGCCTCATTAATCCCTCATAACCACGACCACCTGGAGTCCTTTTCTGTTTCTCTAAAAGATTTTGCGCAAACATAACTTGATAACGAATAATCCCTTTTATAAAAAGTGCTATTTCCCCCCACCCAAAGGAGTTCCAGGACAATAACAGGCTTTTCAGTTTTATTTCCCGGCATAACGCATCCTGGGACCAAGTCAATATTGTGCAATGCTGCAAAACCCAACAAAAGGAACTTTTTATTTCTATTCTGTTCCACCCTCTCTACCTGTCTGATTCTTCTTGGACAAGCTTAGTTATCATTTATTTAATTAGTCTTGATGAATAGTTCTACTATAGACACCATTGGATCACTGTAAAACTGGATTTGCTTTTTTTTTTCTTTCTTTAGATTAACTTTATTAAATGGAAATAAAGGAGATGTCTGTGTGACAGGTTGATGGTAACAAATGCATAATTTGTTACCTAATTTGTTAGATAATGTTTTAAATGCTATTTAAAACAGGTTGACTTTCATAAGCCAGTTTTGACAAACAAACAAAAACAAAAACAACATTCCACTGATAAAAATGGTCCGGCAAGCAGACAATGTCCACCCAGGGAAAATCTCTGAGAGTCCTTTAAAAATCCAGGAGAATGACCGATCGAGGCCATTTAAAGTGAGTACAAGGAAATCTGCCTGGAAGCAAAATGTGAAGAGATAAATAGGGTGGATCAAAACTTTATTAATAACTCTACAGGTTGAAAATGCTTTAGAGAGCAACTGTTTGTTTGAAAATCCGATAATTGAATCCGTTTATTCTTGATATGATATTCAGGCAAGACAGCTGAATCTAAAGTGTTTTTCATTCTTAACCAAATTCAGAACAGCTTCCTGTATCAAGTTTTTTCCACGCCGAAGTCCAAAAACTGCAAAGAACTTTCCGTCCTAGGAAATTTTTCATATCTTTCTTTCTTTTTCTCCCATGTCTCGGCACTGTCAACAATTGAAAGTTTTGGAAGGAAAATATAGAAAGGTAAAATCAGCTTTTTTTTGCCCCCCCTCATCCCACTCTATTGCCCATCCCCACTCTAAACATTAAGTCCTTCCCATTTGCGTCTAAATCCTGTTGAAGCGTACCGTATCTGGTCTCCTGGCGCTTCCGGTTCTGGTTGAGTTTCAGCACGTTGAGGAACACCTCACTGGTCAGGCTGCCCTCCCCCCCGCTCCCGTCCGGGGGGAAGAGGGGCGACGGGGGCTCCAGCGGGGACAGGCTCCCGCTGGAGGCCCCCACCGAGTCCAGAGAGGCCCCCGTGTCCCGCCGGCCCCCCGACTCCGAGCTGCCCTCCAGGGTCAGGTGGCTCCCGCTGTGAGTGACCACAGACAATCAGTGAGGCCTGCGCCATTTCTTCCCACTGGTTTTATTTATTAGAAAAACACAAAGCTTACCTGAGTTTACGCCGTAGCAGGTAGTCTATGACATCCGGGTCCGTTTGGATGAGACTCATGAGGACTTCCTGCTGCAGCTCCGCTGAGACCTATAGGAACACACGTCAGATGATCGTCCAATCAGGGAGCAGGTTTTTTTCCATGGTTGCTCACTGATCTTTTCCCATTCCTCCTCTAACAACATCTTTCCAACCCCCTTCTCCCACTTTTTTTCTACATGCAAGGTATTGTTACCATTTAATTTCTCGACTTCTTTATATAGTTTTGAGATTTTTCTTTTCTTTTTCTTAACCTGAATCTGATTCATGCGGTGAAATAAACATTTTCTGGAGCGGTTTCACACAGGGAAGGGCGTCCAGGTGCCCTCTCCTACCGTGAAGAGCCTCCTGTAGTTCTGCACCAGCACCAGGGTGGCGCTGATGATGGCCGTGCTGTCCTCGATGCCCATGGCGTGCGGACTCACGTCCCCCCCCGGCTCCCTCTGAAGCAGGTTGGGCCCGAAGATCACGGCCAGGTTGGCGGCCGTCATTTTGTTGCCGGGAATCTAGGCGAGGCGAGGAGAGGACGAGTTACAGGAAGTGAGGGGAGGGTTTCGTTCAAGGGGCACTGCCCGGGGTCAAGTAAGTTCTGCTCAATGAACCTTAATCCTCCTCGGCTTTTAAACATTCAACTTCAAACACGCAGACGAAGCGTAAGACCCAGAAGATCAGCGGGCAACGAGACAAGGAAATATTTCTTCCTTCAAATGTGGGATTAAACACGGCCAAAAACTTGACTGTTATTACACGTGCTTCGTTTTTTCCACGGTTAATAATGTGAAACCAAAAAGAAATTAGTTTTCAGTTGCTGTTTTTTTTTTCTCCCAAAAGCCAAGTCTGATTTTTGCTGCCGCTTTAGGCCAAATTTGCACAGAAAAACAGAGCACTGGCAGCCCAAATATCTGCTCTTCTCTGTGAGACTTTTCAAGGGTAATAAACTTTTTCTATTAGGAGAAGCTTATCAATGTTTATATCACCTTCAAATTGAATCAGCCTTAAAATCGTCATCATTTTTGGGTAGTTTGTGTGCTACTGGACACTCTGATAGATAGTGCTATCTATCTATCTATCTATCTATCTATCTATCTATCTATCTATCTATCTATCTATCTATCTATCTATCTATCTATCTATCTATCTATCTATCTATCTATCTATC